GTTGATTGCTCGCCTCTCTCTCTCTCTGTCTCGATTCGAACTGATTGACGTTGGAAATGCAACTGACCTGCGTACGAGATCTAGACCCTAAAACTCATCTCGCATATTAGATCTAATTTCAGCTCTTACGATGTAGAAGAGGGTTCTCGGCTGGAAAAACTTGATTAGCAACTTTGGTCGCGTTGTGAAATTGTTGGTTGACTTTGAGTTGAGCTCTTTTAAGTGACTTTTAATGTTGGTTTAGCTTTGTTTACTTTTTATTCTCATCTCTACCTTTTCATATTCTTTTTGCTCATTCACATCTAACGAACGTCCACTGTAGTTGTTGTTGTTCTTCTTCTTGGAGTAGCGCCCCCCTGATGCTAATGAGCTAATTAACACGTTTTGCTCGGGCATTTTGTTGTTTACAGAGAAAAAGTTGTCTCAGAGGAGAACCTTAGAGATGCACGCAGGCGTTAAAATGCCAGGTGGGAAAATGGTTTGCAAGAGATAGTACAGAAAATCTTCTTTCATCAATCAAAATAGGTAATAAAATAGAGGAAAACTTCAAATTTCCCATTCTTTCTCAACAAGTTGCATACTTTTAGACAGCAATCTGTTTTTCTCGCCAATATGTAATAGATACCATCTATATAGAGTGTTTGCACTCAACTTTCACCTTCTTGTTGACTCATTGATTTCTACGCCAGCACCAAAGTACGAGAAATGCAAATACAATACGTAATTTGTTCAAGGTTCCTTCGTACGACCCTTGGGTAAAAGTTTTTGCCGTAATTTCTTGGCACATTTTGCATTTCAACGCCACAAAATGAAGACTCATATGTGCGCTCTTCTCACTCTCTCCTTGACTTGCCATATATATTATGGCTAATTTGAATTTTTATCATGTTTACAAGCAAACAATACGTGCATCATCATCATCATCATCATATAGCAGCAGAAAGAAAGGAGCCGAGCCGTCGTTGTGTTTTTCCTCTTTTTCTGTAGCTGTTGTTGACGCCGGGAAAAACCTCGCACAACATTTGCATATCGATTTCATATGCAGTGAGGAAAAATTCATATGTTACCCCGCGTCTTTTCCACGACAACAGCAGAGCCCACCCACTCCTTACTTCCTTTTCGGCTTTCCTTCAACTCTCGAGCAAATGCAATCGTGTTTTTTGTGCTTTCCCAAAATTATATGAAATAAACATGACGATGTTCATCGCTACTCAGTTGCTCTCACTTTTGGATCTTTTTGGGGAGAAGGTATATCTTTATAGGGAACTTTCCTTAATTAGATTCTTCTTTCTTATATAACAAATTTCCCCAATTGATATACTAAAGGGTATTCTTAACTTCGTTGATCTAAGCTAGTTCTGCTTTTCCACCTTCATTCATTCTGCTGCAACCGAAAAAAAGGGAAATTGTGGATTATTTGAGAATTTAATTTCGCCCCTAGTGGAAGCTACCATTTTCCTTCATCCATTTTTCTCATAATCCTTCAAAACTTGACATTCTCTTTCGGCTTCTTGCCCCTCTCTCTGCTTTTCCCCCCATATTTTCCGCGTTTTCCTCGTTGTCTGTTTGAAGTTTGCTTGCATGTAAATTGCTCTGATTACCACGTTGCAGTTTTTCTCACCTTCCCCTTTTTCTCGCCTTTTCCACTTTTGCTTACTCATTTGATTTGCTTGCACTTTTTGCTGTTGTCTCGTTTGCCATTCCTCCCTCCTCCTCTTTGGTTTTCCTTTTAGTTAACCTAATGCAAATCGCTGTTATTATGCACTTCTTTGCCCTTAGACAATATTCTCTTTGTTTCCCCTGCTTTCTCCTTGAGGTATTTATGTCCTTCGGGTTTTCCACGCTTTTCCTTGAGGGGCTACCCAGCCCAGCGTCAGAGAGAAAAAGCTGCGGACTCACAGAGTGTCATAAAATTTGAATGCAATTTTTGCTTTTCCCTTTGCTTCAATTTAAGTGGAAATGAGAAGTCATTTGTTCGCTATTTATGGCAGAAGGGAAATTTCTCAAGAAAACACTTTTTTGTGGGTTTGGGGGGTGGTTTGGTTTTTTATGAGAGTAGCAATCGCTGATTGAATTTGTGATGAAAGATCAAAGGTAAACAAATCGTTTGGGGATAATTTCATTTGATTGTTTGAAATCGCTTTAATCCGGAATACTAAAATTGAGTAAAGAAAGAGCTCCTCCTTTGTGGAAAACACTCAAGGGGAGATTTGATGGCTTCAGTTTTGTATCGAATAATTTATACTTCATAAGTGTAATTTGGAAAGTTTAAGACTTCTTAAGAAACCCATTTGCCAATTCGAAGAAAAGTGCTTATGAAAACGGACATATATTCTTCGTCGACAGCTGCTTTCGTTCCCACGCCAGTTCAAACCTTTAACTTAAGCTCTCCCTATATAAAGAACATTTTAAAATGTATTTCATAAAAAACTAGTCTAAGAATCAAGAATAACAATAGCAATGGCAAAAGAACAAAGAAAGAAAACCAATCAGAGGGGTTGTTCTCTTTAGCGATTTCCGCCAGCCGAAAAGTATGCAACACTTTCGCAAAAGAAAACTTTGGCAAAAAGAAAGCCAAATTCGAGTATAGACTTGAGAAAAGCAGCGTGAGCCAAGCAGGAAACAAAACTCGGCGACTCACTCAAGCATTTTATTAAATTGCCACCTTCCGTTTGTTGTTACGTTTGAGACGACGACGACGACTGTCTTTCCTATATACACTTTTTTTCGATTTCTAGGCTGTGAGTACTCTAGAGTTACCCCTTCCCTCTCTCAAACACCATGGCGGTAAACCAGAAGTTACAAAAAAAAAATATATATATATAGAAAACATGGCAAAAATATTTCTGCCATCTTTTTCTATTATATCGCTTCCTGTGTGGATCCCAGCCAAACTTTTTTGTCAGTTTGTTTTCGTTTTGGTTTTTTATTTAAAAAATATTGTTGTTGCTGCTGATGCCTGGTGTTCGAGGTTAAAGTGCCAAATCACGAAACAAGCCACATTTCTCTCTGTCTAGTTTGGAATATTGAATTGAATTGCAATTTCGCTGTTTGCCGGTAGGAGCCGTCGTCGTAGTCGGCGGCGTCTGTCTATAATGCGGCAAATGTTGGATGGCGTCCAACTTGAATTTGCATCGAATTTGTTTTAGGCGCAATGCGGGCGGTCGCCACCAAAGGGCTTATCTGAAATTGAAATGCCCTCGCAGGAGGTTTCGGCCCGAATTTGGAGTTCAACCAAGCCGCTAAATGGACTAAACATTATACAGAAATTAGGAAAAGTTTCCCTGCTGTACATGGGCAGAAATCAAATAGAAATTAACATGGTATGTATATTGAATAGTAGCCCACACGTCAATTTCGACTATTTATAGACGACTTAGCTTTCAAATTTACTTTATATTCAACCCTTCATTCCTCCTCTATTGTTTTCCCAACCATGAAAAACTATCATATTCCTCATTACCACCATTGAAAGCACTTATCCATCATCAAGCCACATTATAAAAACACCCAAAAAATTAGCAAAGCACACACACACACACAGAGGAAAAAGTGCCGAAAATTATTAAGCATACGCCATGTTGTACAAGCGTAATTACACACTGCTGAAAAAGCAGATGGTGGGTGGGTGGTAGCTTCTTTTTTTTCCGTAAGGGGGAGGAGATTGCCTGTCAGGAAGACTCGCAATGCCAGCGAAACTTTTTTTGCACTCAGTTTTGCAGTTTTTTTCTTCCTTTTTTGTTACAACTTGTTAACAATAAACGCCGCTAGAGGTCGTCCAATTAAAAGTGGCATTCTGTACAGTCTTTTCTCCCCTTCTCCTATTTCATCCACCCCTTCAGAGTGTGTGAGGGGTGGCAAAAGTCAACATTTTTGTGGTCACTTAAGCAGATTAATATCATGGGTGTAATTAAAAGAAGCAGCCCCCAAAGTGTGGGCGGGTTGTAGCTCTTCCTGTCTGAAATTAACATAAATTAAAAAATGTTCAGCAACTTTTTTTGTGTTCAGCTTTTTGAACACTTTTTTTTTGGTTGGGAAATTTTTACTGGCTCACATAATTGATGGTTTTTAATTAACTGCCAAGTGACCGACAGCTGACAACGAACTTTAAAACAAAGGGATGGAGAGGCGAAATGCACGAATGAATGAAAGTTCAATGGAAAATCGGTAAAATATTGCGAAAAAAATTCGCTTCACACAGACACAGAGAATGCTGTCGTTTTTCATGTTTTTCGCAATTTTCCCTTCCATCGCGCTCAGCTCTTCATCGTCCTCGCTCCCCCTTTTTGACCATTGCCAATAAAAACTGTCAAATACTATTGCCCGCTTTTAGGCTGACCGCGTTTTTCGCACGCAATTTCGCACAGCCACACCAAACAATTTTGAACGGTCACTGTCTATCTCTGTCACTCTTTTATGTCGATCTCTCTTCTCTTTCAGAATTTTGTTGACTGGGGATTACTTTGGATATGGATGGGGTGATATAGATTCGGGGGAAAAGCAAGGAAAATTAAAATGATATAGGTAAAAAATACTATATTTTAAAGAATTACTTCTAAAGTTGTGAGTCTCAATTTCATGTACTTAAGATTTTTAAATATATTGATGCTTAAAGAAGATCCATATTATCCTTGTCAAGGGTAGGAAATAATCAAAATCTTCTCAAAAATTTATTTTTGCAAGAGGAAAATAACCATTTTCCGAAATATTTATACTATCCTTTCAGTCTATGCATTTCCCAGCCGTAAGCCCCAATTTGTGTTTGGCTTTCGATAGGAAATCGCACACATATTTCTCACGCTTGGCTGGTCACTTTGTGCCGATTTTTGTTGATTTGCTGGCGGTGGAAATATTTTGGCTTGGCATACTTTTAGGCACCCACATGCACACACCGCATCTATTCACCGCATTGTGTGTGTATAGCTCTCTATTTCTATTTCCTTTTTTTTTTTTTTTTTTTTGTCAAATTTGTTTTTGTGAATGGGTAAAAAAAAACTTACCATTGCGATTCTCGCTATCGGCGGGTTTCATTTGAATGGGATGATACATCTGAAACGAAAGGAAATCAAGAGAAAATTTAATGAGAATTAAATTGGTAAATTCTTTAGATTTGTTTTGGGAAAATACTTGAAATAGTTTGCATATTTGGTATGTCAATATAAGATTGGTGTCATTTTTGTTCGTCTTTAATAGGTTAATATAAAAATATGGTTAGGGAAACTCCCAACACAAAAACTCAGCAAATCTCTTTCTTTCCCTTATCCTTGTTATAATCCCTCCATTTTCTCTCGTTAAAATCAAATCCGTTTCCGGACCTTGTTAATCACATTTGAAATATTAGAGCGCAATATGCTCCGTGGTTCCGGGCAAAGACAGAGAGAGGACCGCGATTAATTTACAGAGCTTAGGGCCAAAATGCAGTCGCCAAAAACGGCGACAAGGGACTGCATTTTCTGTAGAAGGGCCGTGAAAATGGGGAATCGGAATGGGGTGGAAAGCCCTCTTTCCCATAGTACCACCACCACCATCCACTTAAGCTGCATAATGAATGGAATGCAGGCAATGGCAAAAAGGAGCCTCGCAGGACACGGAAGAAAGCCTCCGCCTAAATCCTTGACAAAAGCCAAACACATTTATTCAGCGGTCGCTAAAAAGGACACGGGCGTTGGCCAAAAGCGAGGAAAAGGGGAAAACTTCACTCTCTGCTATGTGCAAAATCCTAAAATATGCGTTAGACTTTGCAGCGTGTTTTAAATGTAATTTTTCCCCCACACACACACACACACCTCACAGCGTCTTCTAATTAAAACAAGCTTAAAGCTCGCCCCTGTCCTAGCCATGCCCTCTTTTCCGTACTCAAAGAAGCCGCGAAAACGGCACGAGGTCAGATTGCATTCTATAGTTAGAGATGACGGCGTGAGTTAAAGGTAAGATGTAAAAAGTAAGATAAATATTACAAAAATTTAGTATTAAAATGTTTTATAAAAGATTATCCACAGTTTTTGAGCCACAATATCTCTTATACTAAGTGAGTAGTTTTTAATGAACTTCTCACGCGTGTCACGTAATCACCTCTGCGTGAAACTACAGCTTGGATAATGGCGCGTGATTTATTGGCAAACGGGCAGCGAGCAAACGACGACAGTCGACGCTAGAAGGCAATGTCCTTGTTCTTCCCTTTGGCACTCTGCTCCCTCCTATTCCCATCCTCCCTTCATCCTTTTCACTACCCACTGCTTTTCCTACTTTCCTGCCCTGCCCCAACCTTTTCTGGCCGTAAATAATACACGCAACGGGACTGGTTACAAATTGCAGTCCAAGTCAACCTGCTCCTCCGCCGCTGCCTGTTCTGGCTTTCTTATTTTGCCAATTTATTTATATGCAGGAAGTAGCAATTACCAGTCAAACACAGGCGGCATTCACGCCCCCACCGGGCGAAAACAGTTTCGAAGGTGGAAGAGAGAGTCCTTTCCTCACTTTGTCAACCAGGCAAGTCAGGCAGCCAGCGAAGGCAGCTTTCGTGGTTGGCTTTTCCCTGCCTCCATGTAATTGGTTGAAATATCGCAGGCGACTGTTTTCTATTGGGGCAATTATCGGCCGGTCTGCACTTAATCAACGAAAAGTGGCTCGTGAAATGCAGCCCTGCGATATATGTTATCGAATTGGCAAGGCAAGGAAAGTAAATCGTTTGAAAATTGGCAAATGGCTATGAAAGAGTTTATATTTTCTGCTGTTTAGGTACTGGATTTCATTTCACCGCAAAGTTGATTTTAATAATATTGTTTTTAATCTTGATCTTGTATAGCCTTTTTCCTAATACCAATCATTTTCTCACATTAATGTTAAACTATGTTAAGTAAAAATTGAAAATATCCCTTCGACGAACCCGGCAATCAACATGAATTTCCAAAAGCATTTCCCCCCATTTCGATAACAATCGCAAATTGTGCAAGAAAATTACAAGCTAACGTCAAAGCCTGTCAGTGGAACTGCCAAAAGCAAGAACAGCAACAACAGCAACGGCAACGACGATGGGAATCAAATGCAGCACGCACATGTCCCGTTATCTGCCCTTTAACCCGTCCGTCATCGCCCCAAAATGTTCCATAGCAATTTTCTAAAATAAATATCGCAGCTGCAGCCACGAAGTTACATGCAAATTATGTCAGTTTTCCCTCCTTTTTTTCCCCCGATTTTTCAAAGCCGATAACGTGATGACATAAGCATTGTCCCTAGGAGAAACCCTTCCTCTTTTTTTTTTTTTGAGCCAACACATGGCTTTCAAATAATAATAATATTCAATGCTTATTTGATGGCGCTATACAACAAAAAAAAAAGGGGGAAAAATGAAAACAAAAAATTGGGAACCGAAAATAAAAAGCAACATTGCCAAATGTCGCTCGCTTTTGCTGACGTTGCTCGCTGGTGCTGCTATCTTCTGACCTATCCCTGGAAACCCCCTCTCCGCCCATTCAACATCTTTTTCCCTTTGCACTTGTGCTGACAACTTTGCCGGGACTCTGCTTGCTTTTCCGCTTTTCAGCTGCTTCTGCTCCAAAGTGCAAATTGACATTTTTGTGCCTGCGGTTTGCTCTCTTCCCGTCAGAAATCAAATATTTTTAAATGATCGACGACTCGAATATCTAGTAATTAAGTTTGATTGTTTAAGTATTATTATTATTAGTAATATTAATAATTTCTGCTAAATTTTATCCCCATAAACAACCTACAAAGAGTAGAGTCTAAAGTATGACAAACTTTCTGACAAATTTCATCATACCCTCACTGAAAGAAAACACGAAAAACTTCTGGCGCGTATCTTGTGCTAACAATTTTCGCTATTTTTTGTTAGTCTTTCTTTATTTTTAAGCTGCCACAGGACACAGGGCTAAACTTTTAAAATTACTTGCATTTTATAGGGAAATGTACGTAGCGAAAAAACTACTATATTGGAAAATAGAGGAGGAAGAATTTCACGTTCTACGGTTTTTTTTTTGGTTTTTTAAGTCGGCGTTTCGGAAAAACATTTCCCCTTGCGATGCATTTTATTTTAGCCCCCAAGAGTGTTCTGCCTTTTTTGTGCGGTGTCATGGCTCTGTCAGTCCAAACGCCAGTCAATCTGTCAGTCAGCGAGTCAGTTAGCCATAATGAAGGAGGCGAGAGGAATCACGACGATGATGCTACCAAAACCCCATCCCCCATCCCTTTTCCATCCCATTCGGAAAAACCTCTTGGCTGTTGTCCTGTCAGACGGCTGATAGCGTTCCATGATAAGTTTATAGAGTTTTTCCTTGTTTGTGCCAGATCAGCGAAAATTCCAATTAAAGGCTAAGATGGTCATGTCTTTTACATTTCTTTAGACGCTGCCCCAATTTAGGCTAGAAGACTTACTTCATGGCATTAATGGTAATATGTAAGGTAAGTGACGCAGTCTGAGAAGGGTTTACTACACTCAGAAAAATCACTGCTTCTAACCTGATTCTAAAACTTTTCCTAATCATATTTTCCCAAATACATTCCACCAAAGACCATTAGGTTTTATGAGTAGCTGAAAAATATCCCTAATTTAAGTTATAATGGAGTTGAGAGGGCTGAGCCCTGATAAAATCATTACACAAATCAAAATTTCCTTACCCCATTCAGCGTCTTAACATTATGCAAAGCATCCTGGGCTTTCAGGGCGGCGCGTCTCGTATAGAACGTCACAAAACAGCAACCTGGAAAATAAAAGGAGAGCGGCATAAGATTAGCATGGGGGTTAAATTGGAGTTTATTTTCGAGGCGAGCGCGTCGGGAAAAAGGTGGCACTGGGAAATTATGAAAATTATTATTATTAGCAGGGACCGGCAAAGGGAAAACGTGTGAAAAGGCAGGAAGCCATGGGCGTGGTGGCCAGCGACAGCAAGAAATGTGGCAACAACATGACAGCCCGGCATTAAATTAAACATTATGGCCCCAACGAATGTGTCGCGTTTAAGATTGGAGTATGCAAGCTAGCAGGGGCGGAGCAAGAAGGGTGTCAAGAAAGGGTTGGGCCACGATTTGGGCTTCAAAAAGGGTGGCCAAGGTATTTGAATTTATGAGGGTTCGAGTGGAAGGCAAGTGTGGCGGGCAGCATATTAAGTGATACTTAAAGTCAAACATTAGCTTGGAAATGCTTATTTCGCCTTCGAATGTGGTGAAACTTCCGTTGGGAAAACATTTAACTTTAATGACAGGTTAATAAATCGTAAAATTAAATTGATTTTTTCTTTATATACGCTGATTTTTAGGTAATTTTCCTTATAATTTACACATTTCGAATGTCTCTTTAAATTTCAAGGGAAAACATTTTATCTACCCTTATGTTTTGGCCTCTTTTTGCATTGCATTCCATTTCCATTTCACCAAAATTTTTTTTTTTAGCTTCTATTTGGGATGTGGCTGAAATTCCCTTTCTTTTTGTGCCAAATCTGTGGCCAAGTTACACACACACACACACACACACACTGCCAGCCAGAGCTTTGGTTAAATCCATTTCCGGCTCCTGAACACACATACATTCCATATACCTTTCACTGTGCATCCCATTTCCCGCATTTTCCGCAATTTTCACCCCGCTTTTACCCGCCCCGAATTCAAGGCCTACCTTCAACCTCAGGCTCAGCGGTGTGTGATGGCAGCAGCGATGGTTACAACAAAACTTAATATGGCAATGCAATAGTTGCATAATGCAATTACCCACCAGCGTATCGGCGGCATTTAGTGGTGACCATTTTGGTTGGTCGCACTCAGCCGTTTGGCCAAAAAGGGGGCGTGGCACTAGATATTAAACCCCACACACAGGTAAATTCAATCTGTCGCAGTTTTTTTTTTTTTTTTTGCCATCCATGTCACCACCAACATTTTTCTGCATTTTTCACATACATATTTGCAAATATTTTCATTTCTCGTTTCTGGTTTTTCTTACCTTTTTTTGCCGTTAAATATCCGGTGAAAAGAGGTTAGACGGAATCGTGGCCACATCCGCCGTGTGAGTGAGTTATGAGATCAAAAGTTTGCAGTATATTTTAAAAATGTCGTTTCAAGTTGAATTTTATATACTTTCTAAGAAACAACAATCTTAAATCATTGGACAAAGTATAAATAACAACACAAAGAAAATATTTCTCAAATTACACCCTCAACAAAGCTCCTTTTTCATCTATTATTAAGCCATCATTAAAATATCGCATTCCACTTAAAGTCAAGGAAAGCAAAGAGAAAATATCGAATGAAAATTCACTTCAATTCCATTTGGCAAGCGCAGATTAAATATCATTTAAAATTAAACTAGCGTTAAATGTAACAAATGGAAGAAAATCGAAACCATTTCGATAGCAATAAAACATAGTTGGCGGGCAAAAGGATACTATATTCCAGGGAGAGAAGGAGAGGGCTGATATCCTTGGCTATAGATAAAGAAAGCAATCGAAGGATAACGAAGGAGGAGGCAACTGCAAATGCATCAAAACAACGAAGTAAAACGAAGAAAAATCTCACACAATTCCCATTATGTGCATGTCAACTGCAGTTAGAATCAAACCAAAGACACACACACACACACAGGCAACAAAATAGAACAAAGCGATAAAAACAAGTATGGCAAAGGAGGAAAACTATGGGAGAAGCCAAGGAAAATCGAAGAAAAAGCAGCGGCAGGAATAGAGCTGAAAACGACACCCAGTCACGTTTTTGGACAAAAAGAACTTAATCCCGGCAAGTGGAAGGAAGATGAAATCGAGAGCCGCCAGACAAGACGTGCCAAAGTCCAGCAAAAAAGCTACATACCTATAACATATATATATCCTGACATATATATATATATATATATCCTATATAGCCACCCATTCACCCATAAAATACAAACCGTTGGACACACGTTTGTGGACGAGGCGAGCACCGAAACGAATTAATCGAAGTTAAATAAATCAATGTCCTTAAACATTGCCACCCACAGATTTACTGACTGCGACTAAAGGAACACAAAGAAAGTGGAACTAAAGCAGGAAGAGTGCACACAATCAAGGATGCAGTTCGCTGGTCCTTTCTAGTGTTTTTGTTCCTTAAATATTTGATAAATTACCATTAACTAATAACCATAAGATTATAAAAAATAAAAAAAGAAACCAGACCAACACATCCCGCCTATAGATCTCTCACCTGAAGCGTGACAAATGCTTAGCCATGCTTCAGTGGCAACTAAAAGTCATGACCAAATTCCAATTTCCCCAAAAAAGAGAGAAAAATCAAACTCAAGCTGTGGGAAATTTACTTCCTTACTACTGAAAACCTGCATTTGAAATTGAAATTCGCCTTTTCCTTTGGCGCGGCGGAAGTGCAAGGAGCGGGGAATAAAATTAAGTGAAATTTTATGCATTTTTCACGCTCAGTGCAGCAGCTAAATAAAAATGTCAAGAGCAAAAAAGTTCCTGGGAGAAGGGAAATAAAATAGAAAAAAATATATAAAAAAAAGTAATGGCCGATGAAGGCGTTAGATAAGTGCGTTACTTTTCCTTTTTCCGGGGAGACACTGGACAGCTGGTCTTAGAGCACGAAAAAGCTTTTCAAAATGAAGTTCTCAAGGCAGCCGAAAGATAACGAAAACGAGGACGAAGGCGGCAAACAGCCAAAGAAATCTGCTAACTGACTAAGATTTTCCCCCTTCCTTACCCCCTCCAAAAATAAGAAAACCCCACTTAACCCCGATTTCTAACTCACACTCTGTGTGAATTATATTATTTCCTTTTCTTGGTTTTTTCGTCGGATTCTCATCTGCGTTTCTCAGTTTCTCCTTTTCTGGTTTGGTCAGCGAGTTAGTTTTTTATAAGGCGGAGGTCATAAATCACAGGCTTGACTAAAAAACGAAAGGAAAACGAGGGCGTTGGGGGTGCAATGGGAGTGGCTGCCTTAATGGGGAACTGTGACATATGGTCTTGTTTTGGGGTGGAGGTAAAACTCGCAATTGAATATGTTTTGGGCTGGTTTATCTGCAGTAGCTTAGCTTAAGGGTATAGAAAACGATGATGATTATCAAAAGAAAATTAAGGGATGTTTATTTTAAATACAGTTACTTCAATTAAGTTAATTACAAGAAGTAAGGAGCACTTTAGAGTTCTACAAAATTTAAATCGCTTAATGTACTAAGCTGAAAAGCAATTTATTTTAAGTTCACTTTAAATTGTAACGGCATTTCTGAGGGGAAAATCTTAATTTCATCATAGTTGGCTGCGTTTCGTTGGCCGCAAAAGCCGCGGAAAACTTGAAAATACCAAACCGAAAAGCCCACAAAACATTTTACAGCTCGCCCTGCCCTACTTTCTCCCTCGAATCCAGCTCACTCAATATCGAATTAAAAGCTACCTGTTTCTACCTTTTCTCACCTGAAACAATCCGAAACGGGAACCGCAGAAAATCCTTCTCGCTATGCCTCAGTTCATTCGCCCTGATGACCCCAACCCCCCACAGACTACGACCCCTTATAACGCCCATTTATCCCGTATTCGGAAAATACTTCCCATACTATCGCCGAACCGCAAGCGCTAATAAATTATGACCCGAGCGCTTAACCTTGTGCCGCTCTGGTTTCCACCTTTCCACCACCGCCCCCACTTTCCCCTTTAACCTTCACACCTCTCACCTTTATCTGCTGGCCGCAGTGCAACAAAAACACCAACCATTAAAACCGCAACACCCACAAACAACATCCAAAAGAGGTGGAAAAGTTCGAGGTGGAAAATGGGAGGAAAAACTGCCCGCTAACGAAATTTAGTGCCCCAAAAAGGATAACCATTTCGGGAAGCTAGAAGAACGGAGAGAAGCCCAGAAATACTTGGCCAAAACGAAAAGGAAATTTTTTTTTGGTTGATACAATTTTGTTTTTGTGTTTTTGTTTTTTTTTCTTGCTTTGGTTGCCGTTGGTATTTTTAGTTATTTACGACTTTCTGGTTCAGAGGTCAACCATCGCACTTAAAAGTGTCATTTTGCATTTTGTTTGGTTTAAAGGAAAAAGCGAAACAGCAACTACCCAAAAAAAACAACTCGGAAAATGCAACAGACAAAAGCAGCTGCAGAAAAAAAATCGTTGCACAAGTCTAAGGATATGGATGAGGTCCTTTAGCCAACTGGTAGCCAAAAACTGGGTTACATTTTGCCATCTAAATGGAAATGTTGTTAGCAGGAAGTTTTGCTTGGCTTTAACCGAGAAAAAAAGGCGACCAACGAAAATGCATCATGCAAGAGGAGAAAATGGTGTTCCCAAAAAAGTCTATAAATGAAAACTAGTTCACTAAGAGAAAGTTTTAAAGATAGTTTAGGCATGAAGGTTTAGTTAACCATTTTGAATTTTTTTCATGTTTGAGTGTCAAATTAGATCTTAAAAAATAAACAACAATTTAAAAGGAGAATTTATTAATATTCAAGAGCTAATTGTTTTTAAATTAACAATGTTAAAATATAAAAATCAATTCTAAAAATCCTATAAAAAGGTTTTCCTATTTCGCTCAGTCCTATGTACTCCTTGAAAAAACATTCACCAAGATAGAAGAAAATTCGCTTGAACTTTTTTTCGCCACTATTCGTTTTAGGTCACTGGCACGCCCACGGAAAAAAACGTACCGCCTCCTTTCTCTACTTGGCGCTGACATAAATAATAACTTTGAAATGCAATTTGTGTCGATTTTGTGTTTGTGACTTGCACAAGTCTCTCCGAGCTCTTTCGCCGGCGACAAAAATAATGGCAATAAAAGCGAACATTCTCACATGAGGAGCACTTCTTTGGGGAGTGGCAAATGCTGTGACTACTTTTCGTTGCTTGTCATAAATCATCAACACAACGCGCCACTTAAGTGCTTCTAAAACTGTTTTTCCCACTCAGATTTCCTCCTATCCTCCTCTTTCTATGCCACGCCCACTTTTTTCGGACACTGCTACAACTACTGACCACCAGAACCAAAATGTCACGCCCACTTTTACAAAAATAAGGATGAACCTGTCAGTGGCAGCCGGAATACTAGAAAGAGCAAAAAAAAAAGGCAGAAAAATACAGATGGAAAAGCTAAATAGACAGTTGGATATGGAATAACAATGACGTAAAATAAACAAAACGTTTTCGAAATACAAAATATACAAATACACAATGGCCAGCAGACAAGAATGAAATCTCTTACAGAAATATGAATAGGAAAATCCGAGCAAAATGGCAATTGGAAATGAAAAAGATTAGAAGTGGAAATGTCGTTATGAATGAATGAATGAGTGAATGAAGGGGGAAAAGAGCATGGCACATCAATAAAAATAGAAACTTGACTGCAGTTGAGAGGCCTCAGTAAAAAAGAAGGGCGGAGAAATGAACAGAACAATGAATGATATTGGAATAATGGAAAAGGGAGTTTAGGACGAAAGAAATGAAACTGAGTTTTATCTTCACTTGCAGAGATTTCAATTAGCACTGACGGGTGAACAAAGTGAACAAAGTAAACACATATCGTCTGGGAAATCTGCATTTTTAATCCATTATGAAAAAAATTAGAATGTAATAAATTCAACACAAATTTAAGAATTAAAATCTCCATAAGTACAGGCCAATTTAATACTATGAATTGTATTATTTAATTCAACAGATCCCCTACTCCCAAAACTCTGGGCCCAATCTCCATTAGCAAAGCTCAAGGCTATTGAAATTTCTGCTCAAACACAAATAGCGAACAAAAAGCAATTTGCTGATGAAATGAAATGGCAATTGCAAGTGAATGCAATTAAAAGGGAGAGAAGGAGACATAGAAAGATGTGTGTGCACCAAACGCACGACGTTCCTACATACATATATATATATATACGTATATATTTGAGTTCTGGCTAGACCAATATCTCATATTAATTCTGTCTGTACATCTCTCATTTCCATGACGGGCGACGAAGAACTTTTGGCAGAGCTTTGGCTATTTACCGCAACATATTCGGGTGCAATTTATCAGCCAGACAAAAGCGAAGAGTAAGAGAGAAGGAGAAATGTTACAGTGTTACGTAGGTTAAAGGAACTTTTGTTAATGTTTCTTGACTTTTAAAAGTTAAAGTAGCAAAATAAATAGCATACTTTTAAGCGATCGCCTATGGGTAACCTTAATATGTATAACCACTCCAGCTATTAATCTATTTAATCGAAGGAGTACTGTATGTACTCACCCTTGCTTATTCCGGTGGCCTTGTCCCTCAGAACGTTGATCGAGTGCACTGCGCCGTATTCCTCGAACATTTCACGCAGCTGCGACTCATCCATCGACTTGGGCACCTGGCCCACGAACATCTTGATGTTATCCGGATCCGGTTCCTTTTCGCCGTACGTGACCACAGCGGCATCAGTGTCCATCCGGAAGCAGGCGTCATCATCTACAAGTGCTACCACATTTCGATTGGCACTACAAGCATTGTTGTTGTTGTTAACCAAACCGGCGGAGGACATTATAGAGTTGCTTCCGACGGGCACCAGAGCGTTGTTGCTGTTGACCAAGTTCGGATTGCTGTTGTTGTTGTTGCCGACGTTCAAGCTATTGTTGCTGTTACTGCCGTTATTGTTGTTGTTCAGCAGCGAGGGATTGTTGTTGTTGCTGTGTATGGGACTATTTGGCAGACTATTTGTTGCGCTGCTGCTCTTATCGCTCATACCAAAAGCACTGCAAGAGAGAGAAATGACGAAAGAGGTATTAGTACAGTAATCTGGGGATAAGCGGGAAATTAACATATATTAAAATGTTTTTAAAAAATCTGTCTTATAGTTTTTAGTTTATTGTTAAATATGAGAACATTTCTTAGTTTGTCTATGCCTTTATGTAAATTATGGAAGTTGGGATTATCTTTAACGTGTACCCACTGCATCTGTACCATTTACAGTTATCACACACTTACTCCATGTAGATATCGTTGTTCTTCTCGGAGAAATCGAAAATCATGCGGCGATTGGCCAAAAACGAAACGCGACTGTTGAACATATTTGCGATCTCAAATTTTTTACACTATCAACGTGAATAAAGAACGGGAAAAACTTGGAAACTCTTAATTTACTGGCAGTCAATTACCAATACCAATACGCTTCACGTTTACTGTTAACGCACACGGACACTCGAGGTCGGATTGATTAAATTAAGGGCCTAAATAAATACTTCCACTTAACACGGCACTCGGAACTCAACGTGACTAATTAAAAAAAGCTATATATTAATTAAATATATAATTTCAGCGCATTCGCTTCTCCTCCTTCGTCTCCTTCCTCGCACTTCGTTCCCGGTCAATCGTCGATGGACAAATGAACGAGAAACCGAAGAGGCAATTGTAATGAGATATTGGTGGCCCTCCAATAGATTCCAGTGAGAGCGTGGAAGGAAGAATAAGCGAAAGCTGCTCCAAAGATCTCCAAGATGAACAGCTGAAGAGAGGATCTAAATGTAGTTGGAAGTGAGAGACAGGTTGCTCTGTCCTATTCTAACAAACTAGATAAAACCAACATTACAAAGGGAGAGCATTGATTTTAAAATAAAAACACGGAAAATAAAAAACTATTTAGTTGGTTTTCTTTAATTTTGTGTTTGAAGAGCTTAATTATGTGTAATGTGATATGCTGTAATTTCATCCTCAAATAAACTTTAAAGGTAATTTGTAGACTTAAAACGACTTCGACTTCGGCTTGAGTGAGCCTTTCTTGTTTGCCTTGGCGATTTTCTGGTCGAGTAAACCTCAAATAGCATTAACCTAATGGCCATTTGCCTGTGTAAATAAACGATTTCAGCTTTTTAGGACGGAATTGGGCCAGCCGAAACGCGATGAGCAAACACTTGGACAAGGACCTCTAACACACCTGATGATTAAACGGTTTCTGTCTCCTTACATGTACAGCTGTGAGTCAAATACTAGTGCTCACTTTTAAGTTAAATAATATTAAAATAGCATAATTCATTTTAAAAATAAATTATCCGGCATTGTGTTGTTTCTAAACATTAATTTAGTTTTTAATTTTTAAACAGGAACTAATCTGTTGAACTCTACTGTATATGTGAGAGAGTGACTGAAATGTATTAGCTAAGGCAGAGAAAAGGATGGGATCGAATAACAGGGAGTGTCAGCTAAGAAGGCAGACTACTAATAAAATGGATTGCTTTTTTTTGCGTAATTAGAAATTTAGGCTGACGTGAAGAAAAGGTAAGGTGATATTGAAGGTGGATGTAATTTTGCATGGTAAACCTAATGGTGTTTTTAGTATACATTTTATATATATAAGGGGGGGGTTTTAAAAGAAAAGAAACTAAAAAAATAAAAAAAAAATTTTTAATAAATTTTTTTTTTTTTTTTTTATTTTTATAAAAAACAAATTAAAAAAAAAAAAAAAAAAAAAAATTTTTTTGTTTTGAAAAGTAATTAAAAAAAAATAAAAGTTTTTTAAATATTATAAAAAAAAAAAAAAAAAAAAAAAAAAAAAATAAAAAAAAAAAAAAAAAAAAAAAAAATAAACCAAAAAAAAAAAAATTATAATGAAAATTTGAAAAATTGAAAGCACTATTGAACTATAACTAAAAGGTTTCGATAATCGAAAATATATATATATTTTAACACATGTATATATATATATATATATATATATATATATATATATATATAAATATATATATATGTAAATTTTATATATTTTTCGTTTATTTATTTTATTAATAATATAAAGATTCCACATATATCAAGGTAATACTGTAAATCCCGTTATTAACTCAGCGCCCGACTATTTTTGTTCTCCTTTTCCACTCCTTTGCCTTAGCCACAAATTTGTTCTTTCTTTTTAACTTTATTTTGTGTTTTAATTCATTACAAGTTTCACTTTTATTTAGCAAATTCCTGTCATCCCTTTCCAGTTCTTTTTCTCCCTCGGTGACTTCTTTGTTGCATTCTGTAATTTGAACTTCTTCTTTGGTCTTTGTTTTCCAGACTCCAAACTTTGTTTCTCTTTTTCCGCTCTCTCTTTCCACTTAACCCTTTTTCTTGGCTTTGCCGTCTTGACTTTAATTTAGTTAAAGTTTGTAAGTCACTGGAGAGAAGGGCTGCTGCCACGCCCCTACACTCGAGTGCAAAGTCGAGGGGACTCTCTGGGGAAGGTCTGTAATTGCAACGACCCTTTGACACATTTATTGCATTTCTTACTCTTTTCTACAGAGAAACAAATGTTGCAAGTTTTTTGCAGGTTTTGTTTCAACATTGTAGTATTATAATATAGGTTTAGTACTTTAGTATGTTCAAAAAATATCCAAATTAATTTTAATATTTTAAGACTATTAAACCCTAAGCTCAATTTTATCTCCGTGCTATACCATTTCTAGAAGTGCAAATTGTACACGATCCAAGTTCAGCTTAGGTTCCAATAAAACATGCAATTGCGACAATTTTATCCAAAACTTTTTAAACCGAAAAACAAAACTTTTTCACCCGAGCAGCAAAAACAAGTCGGCAAAACAACCCAACGAAGAATGAACGAGTAAAACGAACTGAACTTTGTTGCTATCAAAGTTCAAACTGCAATTCATCTTCATCAGCAAAAAGTATGCAATAAAAGTGGAAACATGTGATGTTGGCGAAATTTGAACTCAATAATACCCATTAATAAATTAATTTCCGTGAAACTAATTTTAAAGTCATAAAAATAAATGCTCAGTAACAAAAGATTCATGTTTTATAAGATGTTATTTATGAAGGAAAAACTCATAAAACCGTATCATCATCATATACCATACATTTTCCACTACAGGGTACACTAACAAGTTCCACTTTCTTAGACTTAGTCCTTGGATTTAAAAGGACTATCGCATTTGCTTGTCAATAATGCACCCCAAAGACTGAACTCCAGTTACAAATTGAAGATTTCGCTCTTTAAATTTTTGAGCAAACTTTTGGCCCTATTCCATCGTTTACTTTTTTGTTGGCATTTATCTTCATTTGTCGTAGCAGAAGGACAAGCAGAAGGACCTTCTGCTGGAGCAGCTGTCAACAATTTGCCGACCGCAAAATTGTCGAGGGAGCTGCTGAAGAAAGTGGGAGTGTTTGAGATTCGGCATTGGGATTCGTGCTTGGACCACGCCTGCAATTCTCTCGAGAAACTCACTAATTTGCTTGATTACTCCAGAGAATATCTCCGGCGGCGGAGAAATTTGAAATCTATTATAAAAGTTTTTTAGCCTCAAAATGAAGGCACACTTGGGATCGCCAACTGAGATGTTGAAGTGGGCGGCGAAAAAGGTGGACGGGTAAAATCATCTTCGGCGGCGTCGACATGGGTCAACACTTTGACAGGGACAAGGACAAAGAGTAGGAACTTTTTTAACAATGGAGAAGAAAATGAAGAAAAAATTGTAGCAGAAGGAAGGCACTTGAAAAAATATTGAAGTTTTCAAAAAGAAATTTCTTAAATGAAAAACAATCCAAAATGGTTATGAAAAAAAAAGGTTTAGGATATAAGCAATTCGCAACTATTACAATTCAGACCTCCGTAACCTCCTTCTAGAAATCTTAAATTTAAAATCAATTTCTTGTTTATATAAATTTATTATTATTTTTTGAGTGCATGGGTAGCAGCTGAAAAATTCTGTGAAAAACTTTAGCTTGTTCTCATTTTCTTTTGTTTTTTGTTTTTCGGATCTCTTTTATTTTGCAGGTGAGTTGGATAATTTTTTTTTATGTCTAACGTCTGCTTCACAACAAATCAAGTGCAAAGTGGAGTCCTCCACTTCATGTTATTGTTGTTGTTGTGAGAGAAGAGCGAACTTTTGATTCTTGTTTTTTGTTCCTCATTGCTCTTTGTTCTCCTTGATTGGTTTTTGTTGCTAGTGCGGTATGCTAGAGATGGGAAATCAATGGGAATGAAGGAAAACCCAAGTGGATTTCTTGAAGAGCTTTAACATTGTAATTTCTAAAGTGGAGCAAAGGGAAACAAGGACTGACAAGGACGAAAGGTTAATAAGAAGATCTTTAAGACTAGAGGGAATGGTTTTCAAGAATTACAGTTTACAGTGAATGAAACTAATAAAAAAGACAAAAATAGTTTATAAAATGTGAATATTCTTATATACTAAAATATCCTTCTAGCTAAACTATAACCTCGAGAAAGTATGTACCTTTTCCTTTACTTTTAATCCGCCTCTTAATATCTCCAACATCGCGGTTTTTAAGCAGCTTAAACTCGCCCTCAGCCCAAGCAGAGGCTTTTCTTTGATCTGCCCAGGAATAACCTTTTAATGCGACTCAAGTTCAGGAGACTATAAATTACTGAACTTCTCAGAAAAAAAAGGCAGCAGAGAGAAAGCTGTGGAAAAGCTGGGCTGGGAAATGGGAGAAAACAAAAAATATGAGAGCATTTCAGCGCGCTTATCAAAGATAATTTTAAGCCGCATTTAAAAATGATTTCTTTGCTTTATTTTCGCACAGGCCCTGGCACTTTCTCCAGCCTCATTCTACCTCTGTCGTTGCTTCCTCTCCTTTTTGCCGAGCAACGCGACTTTTTCCGCTGACTGTGCGTTGTCTGGCAACACTGGATGAAAATTCTCGTTGCGTGGGCATACGATTTTGCAGGGTAGCAGACTGGAAGGAAAGGAGGAAGAGGGTGGCCCAATGTTGACAGTCAGTGAACCCCGAAAAAGGCAATGCC